AATGACATATCACATGTCAACTTTTGACATTTTCGCTTAAAACAAAATTGAATTTTAAATTTTAATCTAGAGTGTCATGGCTGTGTTTTGAACAGTTCTCATTAAAAGAGGTTCTAAAAAGAACAATGTTCTACTGCAAGGTCTGCTAGTAAACATTTTTAAGCTTAAAGTATAACAACACTATTTATTTAAACCAAAAACTTGTAATACAAAATTAAAGTATCAAAACGAATGACAATGTCAGAAAATAAATAAATAAATGCGGCAACTTGACATTTTTACAGCTACCACGTGAATCATCAGCGCGAAATTTAAATTCCAGTTAATCAGCCCGGCGCGGTATATGTCCATGGTTGGCAACAATGAATTTAAAATCGCGCCCTCGATTACGTAGCTAAAAGTTTAATTGATATCAAATATACCTCCTGAAACGTCAATTTCTTGAATCTAACGTTTTACTTGGTAAAAAAGGAGAAAAACGTGCTTTTCATTCATAAGTAAATATCCCGACATCACTCATAATTTATGAGATTATGAGACACACTTCCTCTTCACATCCAAATATGAATTTCTAAAAAGTTCCAAAGAGCAAACCGCAGTATCTCGTTTCGCTCCGTCAAGCTCAAGCGGGCCATCTTAATTCTACACCACCCCAAGCCCTACAAAGACATCTTTCTCTCTATCTCCATCCCTATCTCTTTCGCACCCGAGGGCTTAGCCCTATCTAGATCGCGTTAAATCGTTTTCTTATCGACACCCGGTGATTGATGGCCCGCCCGGCGTTTGCATGCCGACAATTTTCGCATCGGGAAAAAGAGTTTATGAAATTAATTAACTTTGAGTAATGAACCGTTTTATGGACGTAACGGGAAAAATGATTTAACTCGAAAACGCTTGTATTGGTTGTATAAAGTGGTGACTAAACATAATGGTATTGTAATATATTATGAACATTGTAAGATTAATAGGCATTTAAAAGTTATTTACAGTACAAGTGTGTTTATGAACATGATTACAACAACGAGTCTGAACGAGAACTGTATGGAACCAGAACAAGAACTGTCTGGATCGTTCAATAAAAAGTTATCGGTAGATCTTCACCGGTTGATACCGGTATGTTTACTGAATGTGCCCAATATTAATATCAGTTTTTATTTTGAATGTCAAAAAAATATTGAACCAGTATAACGAGTAAGTAACATGAAAACAAAACATTGGAATTTTCTTTAACTAGGTAGCTAACTAATTAAAACAAAAATTATTTATTTACATTAATGGTAATGTTTGACAGCTCTTGTTTGCAGTTTGGATCGAGATATCCATGGTAGCGGTGAATAATGAAACTATTATTCACTAGTGAATAATGAATATTATTATTATTTTATAAACTGATGTATAACAATCAAATTATAGACGAGTCGTGGATAAAACTAATTTTAACTGTTAAAAGGTTACAAAGGTGCGTACATTATATTATTAAATTAGTTTTTGAACCGATCCAAATACAATTTACGTTGTTTTAGCAGCATTTCCATAAGCCTTTTAAACGTGCCCCTATCTTGTTCATGTCTATTAACTTGAGTGATATGATGACGTGTAATTTATATGTCGCGTGATATTTCAGTTTAATTAAAATTAAAAGCGAGATAAAATAGAGATGATTGAAAATGGAGCGTTTATCATTTTAATAACAGTGAAATGTTTATTAAAGTGTTAATTGTTTTAATAAATCTATATAAAATAAAAAAAAACTTTGTTTTATTTAAATCCGTCAGATATATTTTTTACACAAGTAAAAAAAATTATATTATTTCTTATCAAGTTTTCACCTACTAACCAGATACATTTATTTATTATTCATAAATATGGATAAAACATTTTTTTTTTTTCAAAGTTCCAACCTATAATGCGTCCTGTGCGTGTGGTAGTATTCAAATAATCATTTGCCTTTCATTAAATGTAGTCAGTCTCCTTTGAAGTTCTTGTTAGGCACAATAAATAACGCTTGACACAAACAACTTATTCATATTAAATTATAAATACATTTTTTCTGGTTAATGTTTAAATCAAAAGTTTTTTAGATCTACTTTTTATTTTTATTATGGTTTATTCGACGATTTGACAACATAAATATATATATTTATAATTTTTATTAAGATGTTAGTTGTATATTATTTATACATGCATATTCAAATAACTTTACCAGTTTTATTTTAGTTATAGTTAATAGAAGATACTGTTTGTTTTTGTTAAGTTGTAACTGCATCAACATTATCATTTGATAAATCAAACTTTTATTTTTTTTTTATTTATAAACAAATTAAATGATGTTAACTATCAACCAACAAATGTCAAAATTACTCAATTAAAAATCAAGACAAGACAGATTTTACTCAAGACAAATTTTCAACTGCACTTAATATTTCTGCAATTAAATATTTCTATTTACATTTTACAATTTATTGTACAGGGTGGGTCAAATTGGACGCTTTTAAAGGGAAACACCCTTTTCTATAGGATATAGATGAAAACTAATATTGGTGTCTGGAGATAAATTTTCATCAAAAACATGATGGTGAAAACCGCACATCAATATCTGTTACCGTTTCGGAGTTACGGGGTGTTTTTCAAAAATCTGCATTTTTAACAAATCGCTGTAACTTTTTTGCTATGGAAAATGTTGTATTCATATACGTATTACTTTTTACAAATATACTCAGCCTAATCTCCAAAAAGTGAAGCCCAAACAGTGAAAGAACAATATGGAATTCTGCATAAGTCTATTTCACCCGGATATTCATTTAGAAGTTTTCATTGGTCGATGTTTTTAAAGGGAAGTGGTTGACTGACATTTCCCCTAACCTTCAATTTTATTTATGTTTTTATTATTTATAACATATTATCATGGAGTTGGAAAATATCAAAAAATAGTTGGAAACAATAAACTAAACAAAATCACTCTTTTACGCGCACAAATAAAAAGTAATCCAAACAGAACTAAAACAACAATCAATCGGAGTTTGGCGCAATCGCAATTCAATCCATATCCGGGTGAAATAGACTTATGCAGTTTTAATATGGAGCTGGGTTATGTTGTCTCTTTCTTACGGCACAGAAATTGCACACGGGGTTAAATAGGGAAACCTGAGTATATTTGTAAAAAGTAATACGTATATGGTTGTATTTCTATGAAAACATTTCCAAAGCACCTTTTTACGTAGAATTTAATGGTTTAAATATAATTTTTTTTAAATTAATAATTCAAGAGTTATCAACAGAAAAATTAATTTTTTATTTGGGACACCCTCTATGTTTTTAATTAACTGAAAAGAATTTAAAATTACCTTTCCAAAAATATAGCACACTTGATATTTTGTTATAATCCCCTTCGAAATACAGAATTTTTAAAAGTTCGCCGCTTTTAACTAGTAGGCTTTGGACCCCTTATTGATGATATGCCTTTAATGGAACTCGAAAACATATTTTTCCAGCAAAACGACGCACCGCCTCTGAATGCTGAAGTTATCAGCAAATTTTTGCAGCCAATTTCAAGAATAATCGAATAGCTAACCAAGATCCCAGCCGTTGGCCGTCGAGGCCGCCTGACTTAGTGCCCATTGATATAATCTTATGGATATATTTGGGGAAAAATAAATGTTTCTTATTCTTCCGTATAATCTAGACAAGAATTAGAAATATTTAGCAGTTATGAGAAGGTATCTTTCACCCCCACTGAAAAAAAAGTGCCCCGTCTGTCCATAACAGAAGACGGTCGATATGTCGAACATCTGTATGTAGCAAAATCTCATGTCTTGGTTTGCTATTTATTTTTATTGTTATTAGATATAGTTCAAATGTGTTGATGTTGGTTAAATATATTTTAAATTGTTATAAAATTCTGCATCTCTCATAGAAAATATTATTTTTAATTGATGCTCACAGTTAGAATTTTTTTGCATTACAGCCGGTGCCGTTCAAAGCCAACTTATTTAAAGCCAGCGAATTTTTATATACTCTATATCTCGACGAGGAACCGAGCAAAATATCAAGTGTGTTATATTTTTGGAAAGGTAATTTTAAATTCTTTTCAATTAATTAAAAATATACAGGATGTCCCATATAAAAAATCAATTTTTCTGTTGATAATTCTTAAATTATTAATTTTAAAAAAATTATACTTAAACCATTAAATTCTACGTAAAAAGGTGCTTTGGAAATGTTTTCATTAAAATACAAAATTTTCCATAGCAAAAAGTTACAGCGATTTGTTAAAAATATTTTTAAAAAACACCCCGTAACTCCGAAACGGTAACAGATATCGATATGCGGTTTTCATCATCATGTTTTTGACAAAATTGAGCTCCAGACACCGATATTAGTTTTTGTCTATCTCCTATAGAAAAGGGTGTTTCCATTTAAAAGCGTCGAATTTGACTCACCCTGTACAATTTGGCTTGCAAAAGCCAATTTTAGCAAATTGCCTCACAGTGTAAACTACTCTTGATGTTTTTGTATTTATTGATGAAGACAGTAAAGAACTGTAAAGTTGTTAAAATAATTGAATTAAATCATTTTTAAGAAATTAGTACCTTTTTGAAAATTGACATATAAAAGTAAATTTAGATTTGAATTTTGGAACAACTTTTTTTAAAAACTTTGTCATCAAATTTTATTTATTACATGTCAAAGGCAAACTTTATAATTTACTGCCAAAACAGTTAAGAAGTCAAGAATTTTATAAGAGATTTGTCTATCATATCTCAACAAATTATGATTTTGTTTGAAATTTATTTTGATTATGTTACTGTTAGAAATAGACAGAAAATCACTATGTGATATTTTTACACCGGAAGAACAATAGCAATTCTCAGATATCTATAACTGTAACGTCTAAATACTGTAACATGTCTGTGAAACATAAAATCATGAGGATATTTCTATTAATGTACTAGAAAGTTTAGTTGATAATATTTATTAATATTTTTGTATGTTATTTGCAGAAAAAACTCAACTACTTTGGAACAGTTCCATGCTCAAATATCGCAGCACGAATTATATGCAGAAAACACACCACTGGTCGATCAACTTTTAAAAGACATGCGGACTGAACCTATAGTACACGTTGGTAAGTAATTTTAATAATAATTATTAGTTAAAAATAAGTTATTTTTACCAGATTGAATTAAAAAAGGTTTTTAGGAGATCTTTTATTATTTACATATTTGTCTTACATTTTTATTTAATCCGGCTCTGTTTCTGGTTCCGTTCGCCCGCTAATATCAGTATTTCGCAGATTTGCGGTCACGTAATTATTCATGTTCGTACAATCTAAATACGGTTGCGATGCTGCCAATTCGGTGCGACTCTTAAATTCGTTTAAATTATGCACGGAACGCATTAAACGCGGAAGCCTAATACGTTTAGTCGTATCGAATAGTAAATTTATACCCCTTTGTTCAACCGTAGACAACCATTGTGACGTATTATCTACTCTGACAGAAGTGTTCTGTCTTGGTAATAAGATGCTCCTCTATTAATAATATAACCTGTTCTAGTTTGTATCAGAGGCGACTCGTCAATAAGAACGCTCAACAAGAAATAAAAAATTAAAAAACAAATTGATCAAATTTAAAGTGTTATATTTTTGTTATTTATAGCCCTATTTTCATGAATTGCATGTCTAGCAAGTTGTATATAATTGAGGCGTCAAGTTGCAAAATCCGTCTTATCCCTCAAACTTTGTTTCGAGATAATAACCAAAACTGTTTTATCAAAAAATGTTTGAAGTGTTAATTTCCAAAAAAAAGTATCCATTGAGTGGAATCATTGTTTTGTGTCTCGTTTTTCTAGAAGTAAAAATTACTACTTAATTTTTAAACAGTATAAACGCAAAAATAATTCGGATAAGGCAGGTTTTGTTGCAGTATGATGCATATTGGCTATGAAATGAAGAACAATGTGATTTTATATGTAAATTTTTATGGGAAATATCATCGATCGTCATTTCCTAGTCAACTGGACGCCGGGTTTTTTTTCGATCACACGGCATTTGCATCCTAACTGAACTTATCTACGACGAGATGGTCTACAAACTTTATTGATTTTTTTTTGGAGGTGTAAAATACCTTTACGTACGGAGTGTGGGACTCAATCTCTCCTTAAGCTGCCTGGAGGACACTACCCACTAAACGTCACCCCCTCGCTCCTGCCACGTCTACCTGGACCCGCTGGACGCATCTCCTCAAGTAGACGCCGGACTGTTCCTTTTTTTTTCATTACCCCTGCTCTTCGCTGTATTTTGCCTCTAGTATATTTTGGGCCAGTTTTGAGATGGCTTCAAAGTTTTTTCTTTCTGTTACCGATTTTAAGAAGGTATCTGCAGAGATGTTGCTACCAATCGTCATTCGTGCCTCACATCTTTCCTGTTCCCATCTTGGACAAGCAAACATTGTGTGTTCTGGAGTATCATTGGGTTCAGCGCAGTATCGGCATTCCGCGACTTCCCTCTTTCCAATTTTACACAGGTAACTACCAAAATTTCCGTGGCCACTCAATATTTGAGTGGTTTGCTTTTCTTTAATCCTATCACAGGGGATTTAATCCGGGTCACAGGTGATAACAGGCGCTATTGGTCAGCACGCTCCGCGCGCCAGTTCAAATCGTCAAGATATTGTTATAAACCTGTTTTTTTTTGTTTATATACCGTCATTGAATTATCGCTAAGCAAGTTACTGTGGAGCAGTGCGTAAGGAGTCGAGCTAGGAAGCGAGAGACCGGAGTTCGAATGTCGGCCGGGACATAACTTTTTAAATATTTTTTTAAATACTGTTGTATTCTATAGTTTACTTTTATAGTATAAAAAAAGAACTATTTATTCTGATATTTTTTAATCTCCGTTATTAATATAAATTGATTGTTGGTACAATACCTCATTTAATATAAAATAATATTCTACTTTTTGAAATGTATCGGGCCCTAATTGTACCTAAAAGTAATATATTTTTAGTGATATACCATATTGTAAACTATTTAATATTTCAGTCACTTAAAAGTTAATTTGCATTGAATAATTGCCTACCATTAAAGGAAATTTGAGCTATATAATCCTTGATGGGCATATTCTGGGTATGCAAATACTTCCTCTAAATTTTGGGTTTCGTTCAACCGATTTATTCTCAAAACCTGAAACATCTACATATAAAAAGAAGCACAGGTCACTAATTATAATAAACTTCACCCTTGGAATTACTTCTATCACAATTACAATACGTTCATCTGCATTGGCATTTTCTAATTTTCGATAAACTTCCCAACATTTTTTAAATGATGTAATAATTCCTCTTGTGGTTACTTTTCCATAGATATCCTTATCCCTGTCCTCATGTGAATTCAGAGGCAATGAACATGAAAATTATTTACCATAAACATCGCAAACTAAAAACCTAGTAAACAATTTTATAGCGAATATAGAAATAAATTTAGTATTCTTACCTATTATCGTCCAAATCCATGTTAATAGATAATTATTATTTTTAAATATATTTTTGGAACTGCTGGTTTTAGTAATTATTAAATTAAACGAACTAAAAAGTCTTAAAAATAAACAATTCTTAACCATAACCACAAAAAATGCAGATCTCCTGTCAACTTTCTTGATTTTTTATTTATTCATTATTTTCCTAGTGACGTCACAGGTGGTATGCGCGAACTGAACGAAATTGGGGCCGCTATCGATCATACCTTGTATTCTTTGTACCATGATCTGGAAGCATACAAAGTTTTACAAATTTATGAATCCACAAAAAAAAATCATTCTCATTTAATGTTAATGTTAATTCAAATAAATAACTGACTTAGTAATTTATGAATAAAGCTTAATAATTTCTATAAAATGGTGTGACTTTGAAGTTATAACACACTAGTTTGTTATAACTTTAAAAACTCACGCGTGTGTTATTATTTATTTTATATACATGTGAGTAAAGTCTGTATAAGTAGTGGCTGGTGGATAAAATATATTTTCGTACTTTTGTGCTTTGGCTTAAAAGTGCTTTAGTTTTTTTTTTCAATGCTCACTTAAAATTATTGCTAAAAAATTATACCTATATTAAACAAACTAAGTTTATTTTACAAAATTCGTTGTTTTTTGTTTAAGATTCCATTGAACATACATTTAATGTATGTTCAATGAAATCTTAAATTGAGAATTTGTACCTGTATTAGAGTAAACTAGTTTTTTATTCTTATTTCATCCCTATCTACAGGCGGAACAAGGAAAATCAAAAGCGCAAGGCGCGAGTGAGAGAGGTAGGCAGAGAACGGGAGAAGCAACTCAATTTTCTCGGGCGAAACGGCGGATTTCCCACCCACCTGCCTCGGCGCCACCTCTCTATTGTGTAATCGTAACCAGAGACCGGAGCTTTATTAAAGCTCGTTTAGTCTGTGCGATGACGCCGGCCTAACGCCGCTCTAATCCCCGGCGACGACGTTTCGACCTGATGACGGACGACCGGCATCGCCTTCAATTAGAAACCTGGAAGGTTGCAAGCTGAACGATCGCTTCTCAAATTGCCTAATTAGAATATATTTTTTTGAAAGTTATACATCATGTAATTATAATAAAGTAATTTCTTGTATGCCATGTAGATGTCAAATGCTTAATTTGACTTGCGAAATTACATACTACGAACTGACATGTAATTATTACATCATGTAATTACAAAACAGTAATTGTATGTTACGTGATATCATGTAGTTATCAAATATTTAATTTTCTTTGCGAAACTAATCATGTGTAAGTTCATGATTAAGCAATTAATAGATTCAGCAATTATTACGTAAGTGCATTTAATTACAAATATTATGTAACATCACATAGTTATCAAATGTTTGATTTTACTTACCGAATTACATTCTATAAAATGACGTAATTGTCATCTCAGGTTAGATTAGGTTAGTTTGCTAGGGTTTGGGATCATATTTGATACCTCATTCGGTGGCCTTGGGCCCTAGTGATGGGCAAAACTGTTATTTTTAGATAACAGTTGAAACTGTTATAGTTATTTATAAAAAACAGCTTAAAATAACAGCTTAAAAATAACAGGTTTCTTTATTTTACTGCTAAATATCTGAAAGATTATGAGGCGGTCACCGCCAGGCGTATTAACGCAGTTGCAAGTTGCAACAATGACGTGCTCGGTGGTAGTATTTCAAGGGTGTCAAAACATTTCTAAATATCGATTGTTATCTAAAATACCTCTCTAAAAACGGTGGTTGTTTACAAATAAGCGCTGTTTACAAATTGCGATATAAAAAAGCCAAAATTCCGCCACTCGTCTATACCTATACATTCCGATCTACCTACGCCCTGCCCCTCGATCCGCGTAGATCTTGAATTGCGTAGCAGTGTACAGGGTGCATCTCACTCGACAGGCGAGAAGCTCTTAGTTATGATTTTACCATTTGCGGTCAAAAAATAGCAATATAAGAAAATGTGTAGTATATTCTTCATAAGTAAACCAACTACACACTAGAGTTCGAATTAATTTTACACTTAAACTAGCGTGTACCCGCGACTTCGTTCGCGTCGAATTAATAATTTTAATGGTGATGATAAAGCAAAACAAGAATTTCCATTAACAAACAAACTGGATAAAATTTTCTCACATTTGCCAAAAATAAGCTTTCTAACGTCGAGCAGTTTAAGCAGAATCGTGGTTAATCGATTACTCAACTTTTTGGAACACCTTGTATGATTTTTTTAAAAATTTCAAAATATGTAAAAAACAAAATAAATTATGCGTGTCCAGACGTTTTCCCGAAAGACTAACCGTTTTTTAAATAACAAATATTGTAATATTTGAGGGGCGTTTTCACCCTGTTGGAATTTGAGATTCGAGAAACCCCTCCTTATCGAACCTCAACCCCACAGTCAATCCGTTTGCAAAAATTAGCTTTAAACGTCCAGCAGTTTAAGCAGAATAGTGATTACTCAATGGTCATATTTTATGAAACACCCTGTATATATTTTTAAAAAATCTTAAAATATGCAAAACAACATAATAAAATATACGTGTTTTAAGAGTTTTTCCGAAAAACTCACCGGTTTTTAAATAAAAAGTATTC